TGCCGACCGCCCTCTTGTGAAGTGCATGGGAAGTCCCTATGTACTACCTCGGCCTGCCTCCTGACTGCTGAAGGGCGAGCCAGGCCGAGGAGGCAGTTCTTGCCAATGCCGAAGTGTGCCAGGGGCTGGCGTGCAGCAGCCTGCTGAGGCTGGCGTGGGGAACAGGCTAAGAATAGCCTGTTCCGAAACCCTGGTTCGGTGCCTGAGTTTCAGGGCCGGTCTTTCTGATGAACGACCGAAAATGGCCCTTCGTTTTAGGCTGAAAAGGCTGTTGCCGTATTTAGTCTGAAACGACATAGGGCTGTGGCCCTGGAATTCAGGCTTTCGGCCTGATCCGACATGGGGCTTGTAAGCCCTGGATTTCAGGCTTTCGGCCTGAAATGCAGGCTTTTGGCCTGAAGGGCGCAGGGCCTGCGTGTGCACGCGCAGCATGTAACACCCCCCCTCCTTATGAAGTCAAGCCGGGGCGAGGGCGAAGCCGACGATCTGAAGGTGGAACCTGGACGCGGGCGCGGCGTGGAGCCGAAGAAACCGGCTTGCCTTGCATCTTGCGTTCGTAGCGTGCGAGAACGTCTGGAGCTGTTGCTTGAAGTTCTACACGGGTTAACCAACGGTCAGCTCAGTGTGTGCAGTATGCAAAATGCACCAAATACTCAATTGGCTTGTTGCTGTAGCGTCGCTGGGAGATGATGTCGCCGACCTCCTGAAAACCATCCATAGAAGGTGGGTCTTGCGTACATCTCCCGGGAAAATCGTCATGTTCCGCTGGCGTGTAGAGAGCCAATTTGGAGCAATTAAAGACTGGGTAGACGGGCAAGTGGCCAGGCAGCTGAATAGTGAAGGAAGGTCCTCCGGGTGCGTCCCCAGCGGGCGCTACGATCGGCCAAGGCCCCATCCATTTCGGAAGGAGCTTGCGAGAGATGTCTTGTTCAAGGCTGAATTCTGCTGCGGAAACCCAAACGAGGTCCCCGGCGCGGAATGGACAAGGAAGACGTTGGCGATTGGCCTGCTGGCTCATGCGCTGCTGCGTCTTAGCCATCTGGTCGCGTGCCTTGACAAGAAGCTCTTGCATCCGACGCAAGAAAAGAAGATGGTTGTCGCTCTCGACCGTACGTGGAGTAATAGTGTCCAACGGTGACGTGATCGGCGAGCCGTGCTCGAACTCGAAGGGCGATATCCCAATAGCCGGGTGGATGGAAGAGTTGTAGGCCAACTC